CTCTCTCCTCTTTCTTCATTGACTCCAATCAGTCTTATGTTTTTCTTCTTTGCATCGTCTAGCAGCTGCTGGATTGATTTCTCATCGTCCCTTGCAATTTTAAAGCAATTTTTGTTTTCCTGGTCACCAATTGCAATCTTATTTTCTATATCTGAAATTCTGTCCTCACATTGGCTCATTCTGCTGCATAAACTTTCAGTGGAGTTTTTAGTCTCTTGGAAATCTGTTTACATCTGTTTTGTGGATCCCATTTATTTCCTATGTTGTGAGTCCATCATCTTCCTCAGCTCCTCTATTTTTTTAATCTATGTCTGCTCTAGATTCATTAATCATGTCTTGTACTATGGGCACAATCTCTGCTGTTATCTGAGAAAGTATTTCTCATTTTATTTTTTCCAGATCCTCTTTCGTTGCCAGTTCAGGGAGTCCAGGTTGTTGAGTATCAGATTGTTCCATTTCATTTCCCTTTGGTGTTGCTGTAGGTGATCTGCAAGTCTGGTTTTGAGTCTTCTTTACGTGTCTTCTTATTTCAATGGGTGGGTAGGTAGGTGGGTGGGTCGGAGAGTTGTGTGCTGCTGACGCCCATGTGGCTCTCCTCCTCTGCACTGGGGGTGGTGTTATGGAAGCCTGCAAGGTTCACCTCCTTTATGCTGGGGGCGGCTCTGCTCCTTGACTCTGGAGGTGGTGGTACAGCCTCTGTTGGTTTCTTTTGTTCTCCTTAAGCATTCGTGGTTTCTTATGAGGAACCACATCTTAATGCTAGTTTCCTTCTCCTATTTCAACATTAATAGTTCATGCTAGAGCAAGGTTTTGTTGTTACCTCAAAAGGTTATTTTCCTGTTATTGATATTAGAGGGTTTTTCAAAAACCTTTGTTAAGTGATTCACAGTTTGTCCTGTTTTATAAGCTGTTTGATGAAGGTCAATTTTTATCTCATTATAGGAAAGTCTTTCCAGTGCTAGTCTTTACTTTTAGGACTTTAAGCTTTAATTTGGTGGGTCAGTAGCCCTTGAACACTCAATGAGAAAGACAGGATGGGTAAGAACAGGAATAGTTCATGTAGGAAATGTGTGGTCAGAGACATACTACACATCTCTCTAGACTTTATGCTGCTCCCCAAAAGTTTCTTGTTGGAGACCGTGTTGCTTTGTGGCTGCATTATCTGGAACTATCAGTTAATGGTCAGTATAAAGGGAGTTAGATAAAAACAAATGGATATGGATAGAGATATGAGAATGTATTTTAAAAAGACCGTGGGAGAGGAAGAGGGAACAGATATATCATTTGTGGTTATAGTGGTGGTTCTGTCTTAATCGACTCATCATTTTCCTGATACCACTTAATCCTGTGATATCCTTTTAGGGTAGTTGGTTGGTAATCAATTTATTTATTGAGAAATTGAAACACAAGTTAGAGAATTTTCTAAGGTAGCTGAGGAAGGATTCAAATCCAAGTAAGAGAGTCCTGCAGGTCAGGATGGTGGAATTTATGCAGAGCTGAAGATCTAATGTCCCCATTCTTTGGAGCTTATAGTCCAATGGGAATCATCAAATGAAGCGTCCGTAAAGATTGGTGTCTGGGTCCCACTGGGGTTGGCATATGTTTCAGAAGGATGAAATGACAGGGAAGGTGTAGCAAGAGTGGTCAGGAAGGAAGAATGATGAGTCTTGTGCACGGTGAGCCTGGTGGTGTATGAGAGGGCTGGTGGGAGATGAGGCCAGCCTGCCAAAGTGGGTGAAAGCAAGAAGAGGAGGAATTTGGGCAATAGGAACCATGGAAGCCCAGAGAGTGGAAAATGGACCATGATGAGAGATGTGTGAGGAAGTGAGAGAAGAGGACAGAAAAAGACCCCAGGCTGAACTGGCACCTTCTATTCATTTATAATTTCTTCCCATAAAACAGACCAGTGACTTTTTTTTTTCTTACAGTGACAGAAAAAGAATGTCTGTAATTGTCCGAACTCCTTCAGGACAACTTCGACTATACTGTAAAGGAGCTGTAAGTATCTGCATAGCATTCCCAAACCATAGGGTTGTTGATTACTTCTTAAATCTGCTGTTTTTCCTAATTGCTGATCTTCTCACCCTCTAATCGTTTGGTCAAAGTTGAAAAGCTCTTTCAGGCCTGATGTCATAGTGACAAGGCCACAGAATATACTGTGGTTCGAGGCAGCATGACAGAGGCAGTTAGTGCACAGTGAACACCCAGGTGGATGTTGGTTTCAGAAGGAGCAGTTTGGCATGTGAGACAAACTCTGTGGAGGATGAATTCTTATTCCAGTTTTACCCTCAATGTCTTGTGACTCCGTAAAGTACAAGAGTCTTTAAGTCATCTGGTAGATGGTGGATCTCTAGCAGCTATTCTTCCCAATCAATGTGATTTTTATTTTATTTTATTTTTATTTTATTTTATTTTTATTTTTTTATTTATTTTTTATTTTTTAATCTTACTTGTAAAATTATATCCTGTTAAATGGTGGTCATATGGGTTGAGGGAAAGAACTTTTAAACTTATTTTATGAGACTATGTCAAGCATATAATACTATCCCAGGGTCACTATTGGTTGAAAATCTCACTAATCTTTACCAGTTGTGGGGGAAAAGGTGGTTTTGTTTTAGTACACTAAGACTAAGGATTTTAAAGAATGAGTAGTGCATGGGACTTCTAAAGGCATTGTATCTGGACCCATAAAAGAATTCTGATTTTATGATAGCAACTTCAATTAAAATCACTGAGATGTGTTCTGTGATATATTTTTTAAAATTAGTATTTATTTTCCATTGTATTCTCAGTATCCCAGCAAGTGAGGTGGCAGAGAGACAAAGGCTGTAAATACAAAACAGTGCAAATATGAAAACGCTGCAAGGGTTATTTTATTTTTATGGAATTTAATTATCATATCTCCAAACCTGTCTCCTAAACCAAACTCGTTTTTTAAATCAGTGTCCTGATACTCTGCAATGTACAGCATATTTGATGGATTATCTGTGCATCCAGACCTCCACCCCTGCCTATCAGTCATGCAAATGGTTACAGGCGATGGGCTCTATGCACTTGTGTGTTTCTCGGAAGGAATGGGTTCAGTTGTGCCTTGTGTGTTATGCTTTCTCCCCTACCCCCCACCCCCATTAGGAGGACCCCAGCATTGTCAAGCATGGGTGTACTTGAGTAACTTAGGATGTGTATTTTACTCCTTCTGTTTCTGTAGGAAAAAACCTCTAATATTTTTATATCAACATTTTTATTTTATATTGTGAGCATCTCTAATCCAAAAATTCAAAAATTCAAAATGTTCCAAAATCTTAATCTTTTGAGCATTGACATAAGTGGAAAGTTCTACACCTGACCTCATATAAGTCAAACTGCAGGCACAGTAAATGCATTGTATAGAATCACCTGCAGGCTGTGTGTACGTGGAACATGAATGAATTTTGTGTTTAGATGTGGGTCCCAACCTGTAGATGTTTCATCATGTATATGCAAATCCTATTCTAAAATCTGAAAAAAAAATCCAAAATCTATAATACTCCTGGTTCCAAGCAACTCAGACAAGGGATACTCAGTCTGTACACGCTTTAGGATGAGGGTTTGCAAATTGCGTGTGAACCTAAGCACTGTCATGTCCTTGATCATTCTGCTGGGTCCTAGGGTGTTTTTACTTGCCTTTTAAGGTACATAACAGCTTTTGGTTTGTTGGACATGTCCAAGCCCACTTTTTTCAAAGCTCATGCCTCAGCCAAAGAGTCTAATATTACTTACTCACTCAGATATTTTCATGTTCATTAGATAAACAATTAAACCAAGCCATGTTTAGCATGCTGACTGGGAGATTTCCTGAAGGATCTGCCGGTCACAAGCAGTGTTTCCCTATTTTATAGGATAATGTAATTTTTGAAAGACTTTCAAAAGATTCAAAGTACATGGAGGAAACATCATGCCATCTGGAATATTTTGCCACAGAAGGTAAGCAAAATTTGGAAAGGTTATTTTTGAATCTTAAAGCTGTACTTTCAAGTGTTTATGGCTGATGCTTGGGTAAGCAGTCTTGTTCTGAATAGACATATCCTTTTAGGACACACTTGGCTTATTTCACAGGAGTATATTCTTCAAGTGCCTATCCTATCCTGTCCCCTCTCGTTGCCACATTTTGTGCCTATGGCAGTGACAAAATAAGTGTGCACAGACCAAACTCAATTACCTGATGTGACTCTGCTAACTCATAGCCAGGCGTGCAGCAGGAGGGGCAGGCTAGCTCTGGACATGTAGTATCATTTTGACCCTTTTCTAGACAACTCATTGTCATTTCCCCGTGCCTCTCCTATTATCCTTATGATACTGGCTTATCCAGGATTTAAGGAAATAATTTACTGAACCCACAGAGAGCAGGAAAGGCTCTCTCTAGAAGCCTTGAAACAACACTGAGGTCGGATTTTCCTGCTGGAGGGTGTGTTGACAGCTGGAGCTGTGCTTCAGTGCTGCTGCTCTCTCTGCATGGTGTGTTCCTGTAGCTACACAAGAGTGTTCATGTGAATTAGCATGCACACCTACATGCTTACCCATGGGCATGGCTGCTTGAAAACTTGGATCTTTAATGTGATTGCATGTTGAGGTTTTTATTGTTGTCTTGAAACACACTTCCTGCTTTCTCTACTTGAAGATTCCTGCCTCAAACATGTGCGCTGTGCATGGCTCCTGCCCCCTCTGCTGTGAAAAATTTACAAAATTTATAGAAGAGTTGGCTTGTTTTAGAAAATAGTAGAGCCATCTTTAAATTCCCTCTGTAGATGTGTGAATGGTGAATTAGAGTGGCCTAAAAAGCAGACTGTTTCTTTAATTATTTGAGCATGCTGATGTAAGAGAAGCCACATAATGTCTCTTAGGATGTAAATTACAGTATCCTTTCTGTCCCCATTCACTACTGCCTGTTTTGCAGGCCTTAGGACTCTCTGCGTGGCCTATGCTGATCTCTCAGAGACTGATTATGAGGAGTGGCTGAAAGTCTATCAAGAAGCCAGTATCATATTGAAAGACAGAGCTCAGCGGTTGGAAGAGTGTTATGAGATTATCGAGAAGGTAACCACACACAGAATAGTCTTTCTGTTCCTACTGAAGAACTTTGCCTATTGAACAACGTCTTTGAATAGGAATATGTTTGCTGTATAGTAATGCTTTCTTTTTTCTAAATGAACCCTTATCTTTGAATCATATCTTTGTTTTAGAAGCACTTGGTATTCAAAGATCTAGCCAATGTTGTCTTAAGAAATATCAAGTGAAAGGGCCAGGGATTTACCTCAGTGGTTCCACCACCTGCCTTGCAAGCGCAAGGACCTGAGTTCGAAAAAAAAAAAAAAAAGAAAGAAATATCAAGTGAAAAACTGCATCAGTTTCTTTCTGGGTTTGCTTAAGATTCATAAGATTAGGTCACCCTATTGAGAATGTTGTATAGTAGGCTGGTTAGACATTGTAGACACTTATTCTAATAATATTTACACGTTACTATTGCTATTCCCTATTGCCTACTTTGATTTTTTTGTTGTCATTATTTTTAGTTCAACTCAAGGCATTAGGTCATTTTTACTTATTTGGATTCCCTCAAATTTGGAAGCTAGATTTCAACTTTTCCCCTTTGATGTCAGCAGCCATGGAAACATCTATTTTCCAGGATCTGTACTTCTAAAGCCATCATTTGTTTGCTGTATTTCATTCCTTCATTTTTTAAAAATTCCCCTTTACTTTTTCTGAGTTTTTGCTTGGGCTTTATATTCAGTTGTTCACATTCAGTCATTTTAATGGAATTTTAACAGCAGTGATACTGAATTCAAGCATAGGTTTTGCCCTGCTTTACTGGTTTAAAAAAAGATGAGTAACTTCGTCAAAGTTTGCTTGAGCAAGGCAAACTTCTAAACAAAACAGCATTCCCGATGGAAGATGATGCCTAGAGCACACCTCATGTGCAGGCTGTATTTATGGCAAGATAAAAGAGAGTGATGTATAGAAACCACTGGATTGGTTTTAGTCACCATTTGCCATGTATGGACATTTCAGTCCCTGATTGGCTGGAGGCCCAGCTTCTGTAATTGATAGAAGTTGGTTTCTTGGTTCCTGAGGTATACTTTTTGGTTGAACTACAGTTTGCTTATCAATCTAGGTTACAGTTCTCTACCATAGAGAGTTCATTTGGGGCCAAATTTGATAACCCAAGTACAGAGACAGTTTTAGGCCAAATTTAATTTAACACTAGAAATATCCAAAATTAACTTTAATAGTCAGAAAAAAGTAATTAAATGGGTACCATGTCCATGTAGTACTAAGCATGTGGTGTGTGCTCATGAGGTAGCTGGATTTTCCCATGGTCTAGTTATAGAGAGCTAAAGTGCTGTGTCATAGAGAGACACAGGGAAGGTCAGTGAGGGATGAGTGGGCCATATGTGCAGCTTCCTTGGAATTGGTCAGACCAGTAGGCCTAGCCAGAGTACCTAGGGTTTTAAGCACATCGTCACCCATCCTCAAGATACTAAGATACTTTGATGTTTTCCCCTCTAGCTATTAAATGGTGCTGGGGATACAACCCAGGGCCTTGGTGCATGCACGGGTCTCTTACTGTTATTCCTGCAGATAAGAGTATCACTAGAATCAGTTCTTCTCTAAGTTAAATGCGGCTTGATGCTTTACTTATCAGAGGAATGAGAGGAAGGGCTTATGCACTGTTAAGTCGCCATAATCACTTCCATGTGCACTCGGGATGGTTTCAGTCCTGACATGCTCAGAACCAATGAATGAAAGATGTGTGCTTAGCTGCCTGTGTGTGTGGAGCAGTCCCAGCCTGGTAAAGAGTTTGGAGTGCCCCACACCGAGATATCATGAAGCATCTGTAGACTAGGGCTTGGTGTAGAGGATTAAGTTAACTGTCTCAGAACCTTTTGGTTGGCATTGTCAGAGTTGTCATTAATGCTGCTCTTGACTGTGAATTAATATCTAATTGAAGATGTTTTTCAACCTAGAATTTACTATTACTTGGAGCCACAGCCATAGAAGACCGCCTTCAGGCTGGTGTTCCAGAAACCATAGCAACTCTGTTGAAGGCAGAAATTAAGATATGGGTGTTGACAGGAGACAAACAAGAAACCGCAATTAACATAGGTAATCAATTTTTAATATGATTTCTTAGCACTGGTGTTCAGTTTTAAATGTCTTCTAGACATACCTAAGTGTTTAGATGATGTTATATAGAAATCTTCACTTATAGGGTCAGTGAGTTTGCCCAAATTCAGTAGTGATGCTCATTTGCATGCTGTCTGCCTGCTGCAAACACTGGGACCATCATAGCCTCTTGAAAAGAGTGAAACACACGTAGAGTATAGAATCTAAGTTGACAACCTTGCTTTTCTTATTTCTTTCCTCACAAAGTTTCATTCTGAGAAGCTATTTTTACTAGATTTAAACATGCATCATTGTTACAATTATAACCAATTTTAATAGTTTTACCAATGGATGTGTTTTTCTGTGAGTAGTTTCATGTCTTTCTCATCCCCGTCTTGGATGACAGACAGCCTTCCTTGCTGAGCTTCACAGAGGTGGAAACTGAAGAAAGGCAACTTAACTCAGAATCACTGTGTTAAAGAAGCACAATTGAAGCTTAAAAAGGAGTTGAAGCTACTAATTTTTTTAAAAAAATCTAACTTTGATCATTAGAAATATTTTGAAATTATCTCTACTTGGGTCACCATTATGATATAGGACCTGGTACACAGGTGATAAAATGAATACTGTTGTGTAATATAATGTCTTTATGGAAACAGTCTCTTGTTATTGGTGCTTTTAGAAAAAAGCATATTGGATACTCTGAATTTTAGTGACTGTAGTTCTGTTCACAGTAGATTCCTTGGGTTAAATATTTGGGTTTTGAGGCAACCCTTTTCTCAAAACCTGCTCTTTTGAATCAGTAACCTCAGTTATAGATAATACGTATCCTTGGGGTGAATTTCATTTTTTCAAAAAATGGACAAATGCCATGTAATCATTTCTTATGGATAAAGCTAATTAAGTGCAAGTCAGGTTACCAAACAACAGAAGTTCAAGTCACAGAGAATGATATGGGTTTTCAAGAACAATCTTGAGGCATCAGCTGTAGACTTTGTCTCTGATTTGTGTTGTTTGTCACTCAAGTGCATGGTTTGGGACAAGAGTGTGATGATAACTCAGTGCAGACTCATCATTGCTGCTAGGAAATAAAAAGCCCCAGGTATAGCCCTTTGATGATATGTGAGTACTATCTTCCTAACTGAAGAACAACACATTTACTTTTATGTGCTTTCTGTATTTGTGTATAGGTTGGCCGTTCAGGTGTTGTTTCCCATGTAAATTTGGCCTAAAACTATGGCCCCTGTTATTCATAGAAAGCATGACTGCTGCCCTGAAATACTTACCTAAAACTTACTTAATATGATGTGCTTTCTGCCCTCTTCAAGGGATGTGAAATAAGTGGATATAACCCCTCAGGTTAAAAATGAGCAATAGTGATAACTTTTTAGTTCCCCAGATCTTGAGTGTTCCTACTGGACTAGTGCTGTATGGAATCTCCTTGCCCCAGACTTATCTTCCATAACCATTTGACCATGTCTGCTGTGGAAGCTCACAGGAGCACCTGTCAGTGGCATCACACTGTCTTTTGGGAGCACACATGCTCCTTTCCTTGCTTTGTTGTGTTACATCTGAGCCTATCAGTTGAGCTCAGTTGGAATAAACATAAGGGAAAGCAAAGGGCTGAAAATCAACCCAGAAAACACCAATGGGATTATTACTTGCAAAGGAAAGTTTTGCTTGCATTAATAAGCCTGCACTGAGCCTTATGCAATAATTGACAATCATCCAAATAGTTATTAGAAATATTGATTATTTTATACTTTATCAAAGAGGGTATGGTAATGTAACATGTGTGATGTTGGTAACAGAAGTAGTCACATCCATTAGCTTTTTCTTAATTGATTTTTCATAGTGAATCCTCCTCAAGACCACTCAAAGATGATGCCTCCAACTTGAAAGCTGATGACATTGCCAAAGTCTTTAATTTATGATGGAAATTTTATCAAGTTCTATTTTATCTAGTGTTATCATTCACATTTGAACTCTTCTTTGATGTTAGTCAGTATGTTTCTAACAGCTAGGGAATCAGAGTTCCTTGAAGGAATGAGGTCTAAATTATTTTATTATTATTCCACCATTAGAACTCAAGCTTGTAACATTACTCAAGCTTGAGTAATGTTGAGGGATTAAGTGTCATTTTCTCATTTAGGTTATCTGTTGAGCCTACAAAAGAGCAAGAAGGCTCAGGAAAGTAGATCTGTCTGGACGTTTCATTAGAGTTACTGTTGAGCCACAAGTGGCAGTATCAGCAGCATGAGATCATTCTCTGGATAGAGTATGGGGTTTTGGATTGTTTTTAGTTGTATAGTCCTTTTTCTTCTCGTAATAGGAATCATATTTATCTGTCTCCTGGAACACTGTATATGTTAGTGCACTCTGTGTATGCTTTAGGGCATCTAAAAGCTAATTGAGAAGAGCAACACTTAAGTACCTGACAGTTCTGCTTCTAGGTAGAGGGAGAGGGAGAGAGCAAATTAGTAGTGTCTGGCTAGTGCCAGTTATGATTGCTGCAAGTATTCCCTGAAAACTCTCTTTTCTGTCTTTACATGTGAAATCTGTTAAAGGTCACAGAAAAAAATCGGAGTTTTTCAAGGTTTTACTTTACTTAAAAACTAAACTAGCACAGATTGAGCATCCATTATGTCCCAAATGCGTGGGACCAGAAGTCTTTCAGATTTTTTATTATTTTGGAATATTTGCATAGACATTACCAGTTGAACATTACTAATCCAAAAATCTGTAATCCAGAATGCTCCAAAATCAAAACTGATCAGATTTTGGAGTATTTATGATTTAAAATTTTTGGATTAAGGTGCTCCAACCTGTACTAAATCTAAATCTCAGTCTTCCCTTGACTCCTGATGCAGGGATTATTTAAAAAGAGTCACATAATTTTCACAAAAACTGTTATCTGAAATTTGAATTAGAAGACATGGAAGAATTGTACTGTATTTCATCCATTTTAATATGCTTATTTTTTTAACCTTCTAATAGCCCTGAAATTGGGATATGTTAAACCATTGACCCTTACACTTTTAATTGGCAGCATTTGCTACTTGTCATACCCAAGAGTTCATCTTTAGATTTGGTGGGAGTTATGCTTTGTTTTGGGGGTTGTTAGCTCTCTTTATTATTTGCGTACACACATATATAACATAGTTCGAGAATTTCTTTTTAATATATGACTTTTCCTTCACATTTATATATACGTAGTCAAATTAAGTTTCAGGATATTTGTGTCTCCTGTGACCCAATGAGTTCTATGTAGATAGATGGTCATTTTGCCTATAGATTTTACTAGTTTGAAACTATCATGTTCTCAGATTTGTGCAGTGCTGGACTTGAATTTATGCTAACTCATTGTGTTTGGGGGAATTGGTAGTTTTCTTTTTTAGGTTAAAAACTTGGCACCAGCTAGTCTAATGTGAAATTTCAGGTGTGGCCTTTGTGAATCACTTGGTTGTCATTTCCTTGTTACAACCAGATAAAACATCTATTAGTAAGTTTTATACTACATGTGAAGTTCTCAGAGTTGATAGTTTTTTCTAATGGGTATGGAATGAGCAAAAACAAAATCCTAGTGTGTATTCCATCTTAAAGTTATTAAACTGGAAATTGCTATCATCTCAAATCATTTCTGAGTTGCAAATTTGAGTCCTTTGTGTCCCTGAATCTTATTATCCATCAGTCGATACTTTTAAAGCACTTTTTAGAACAGTCTTACAAATTTATTTGAAATATTTTAAAAATCTAGTTATGTATTCTAAGGTATATACTATAGATGATGTGAGTTACATGTAGATGATCTCAGCTTACTTTTGAAAAGCAAGTAAACATGGCGCTTGCTCAGCCTTTTGCTGCCTATATACGTTGCCCTGTTCCTGAAAAGGAAGACAATTCCCCATTCTCAGGTGACGCTGGCTGTACCAGTTACAAGATTGGTGATATTCTCAATGTTATTGTTGCTTTTCATGGAAAATCCGGACTAGTATTGTTGCCAGATACCCCACAGAGGCTTGGGTTACTTTCATTCCCCGATTGGAGTGTGAGTTAATTGCAAGAAAATTAGCAAATGATATAGATGAGAACATTCTAATTTATCTGTCTTAGTTCCTATTTTTCTCATTGCTGAGACAAAATACCCGACACCCATGAGTTAAAAGAGGAGAGGTTTATTATAGTTCATTTTTTGTAGAGATTTCAGTCCCATATAGTCGGCTTTGCTTAATCCTTGCAGCTTTCCTCAGAGTCCATGTCCCTAGTTTCTCCAGACTTCTGGGGTCTCCACTGCAACTTCAGCTTCACATTCACAACTTCACACACACACACACACACACACACACATACTTCACAAACACAGCTGCCCCCTCAGAGGCACATCGTCTGGCCGGCCTCCCAGGCCTTCTGAAATCTGGGTAGAATCTTTCCTGATGCCACAACTCTTGTATTCTCCATGCACCTAAAACGAGCACCTCATAGATGATGCCAAAGTCCAACACCAGCTGGATCACTAGCCAGGCTTCCCTTTCTCTTGGTTGTAAGGGCAGAGTGCCTGGACTGCTGAACACTATGGACCAAATCCTGAGAAACAACTTCCCTAGGCTGCTGCCATTTTGGAACCTGGTGCTCTGGGGGCTTTCTTCTCAAAGCAAAGTTTTTCACCTTTGCAATTGTGAGGCTGCAAGGGGTGGAATCCTGCTGATTCTTTTGCAGCCATCTTTTCTATTGTCCTCTTCCTTCTTAGCAACCAAGTTCTCCTCTGCTCCTTCTTTGCTACTGAAGCTTCCTTTCAGGCCAAACTCAAAATGTTTTAAATCATTTTGCTGGACTCTTTGCTCATAGATCTGGCTCAAAGCCCCCAATAGTAGCCATGCCACTGCCTCAACATTAGATTGCCTTGAAATTTCTTTTGCAAAATTAGTTAGTTGACAGTCCTTAATCTCAGTTTCAGGCAAAGTCTCTGGACAGGAGCAAAATGCAGCCAAATTTTCTGCCAA